GTACAAGGTAGAATATATATATATCTTCAACAGAGAGTGTATCCATTATTAAGCAAGCCTGTAATTGTTTTTTTGCCTGTGTCTTAATAAAATAACAAAAATAACTACAAGGACGTGGCCGAATCGAAAAAAGGGTTGTAAAACTTAAGCTCTAATTATCATACATTTGTGTACATTTGAAAAATAAAAAGTAACGAAAATGCACATCATAACAAACGAAAAAATACGAAATGCGCCGTATTCAACACCCCACCATAACTTTAAAATATCCACCCTAGCTGAAAACGCGAATACCAGTAATAGTTGCTCTCAAATATAATTGATCAAATCAGTAAATATTCACAACAAATACATATGTGTTCCTAATGTTTTAAAATCAGTACGTTCATCGCTGAAAATCATTGTACAAATATCCTCCCATCCAAACCACCACACATCGACACATGGATGACTTGAAAAAAAGGTATCAGAATGTCTGTGATGCAAGTTATTATAAAGTGAAGACGGTCTTATTTTGGTGAAAAACTTCCAAGACAAATTGGTGCCATGCCTAGTAAATATTGTTGTTTTTAGAATCCATTATATTAAGTTACTATAATCTAGAACAGTAACAAAAAGAACGCATATAATATTTTAAAAGCACCATTTGGAGCAAATTATTTAAAGCCACAAAGACGCAACAACCAAGCAAAAAATCACTCATCTCAACAATTGTAACCATGGTTAAATCACCAAAGAAGGCAGCAAAATTATGCTATCGCCATTCAAACATATTCTAGCAGAACTCACAAGCATCTAATCTCGTTACTACAACTGTTTTCTGTACTCACTCGAATGAATGTAAAACACGCATAGCAAATAAGTACTCGGTAAACCACCCACCGTGTATGAATACTAGTAACGAACTGCTAAGTGGGGGCGCTATTTACACATAAAGAGTATTCTTCAAAAATATATTCATCTATGTCTATATCATAATAAACTGTGCTTGAAACCATTTTGATTTGTCGAATTGTCGAATGACTTCCGTACAGCAGACAATTAATGAATCTAGAGTTGAAAAGGTTCAAAAATGATACAACTACGGTACTAAAACATTGACATTACACAATACACAAAAATGCAAATTATATATGTATATTTTTTTTGAAGATGGAAGATTTTGAAAATAGCGAAGACCAACACGGTGAGTATATGATGCACGCCGGCTTTTAATATAAATGTGTTGAAATTGATTCTGGAATCTACCAGTTTCAGATGTTACCAGAAAAGCAATCAGTCCAATACTGAAGATAACCATTCACTGCAAATATGTTATAGTTTTTTTTTAAATGCCAATCCAGACAAAGCTATATCCTTGCAGTCACTACAAAAGGATTGTAGTGTGTGCTTGGCTTACTGATTTAATATAAGCAAATTTGTTGTCTGTTTTTTTCAACGGGGAGATGTAAAACTTGTGTTTTGCTCTATAAAATGCTACTCAAACAACCCCTTTCTCTGATTTTAGCGTTATAATTGCCCACCAACACTACAGCAGTTTATGGCAGTCGTTGGCGTTGCATCTGTACTAGGATCGATTGAGCAATTGGGGGTAATATTTGGCAGCAAAGTCAATTCAATTGATTTAGCCGGTACGTGTACAAAATAATTAAAAGCAAAAACGTAAGAGGTCAGGTAGTCACTTATATATGCCAGAGGGTATTAGGGTTTCATTTTTAAGCTAACCACGGCTAGATATGGTATACATATTACTGCGATAATGTTAACAATGTTATGTTTAAACGTTAGGTTTGCCGTGCTGCTGCAATTATTTAATATTTTATTGAATTTTTTCTACAGGTTTCAATTCTACGGTTACTACCGCAACAGTGAATATCTCTACGATCTTCCACTACGCATAATACTGGTACAACTCCATTATGAACAAGTCAGAGTTTCCCTGAAACAACACTGTTCATTACTACCTTGCATACAATGACATATATACCTCTATCGGATATGCCACTGTCTAGTGCTGGTTTGACAAGTGCCACAGCTACGATTCCAACAATTGATTTTACTGCTGCAGAAGCAACAATATTCCTTCACACAGTACAACACGTGCCCACATACCAACGACTATTACTCCAACGACAACGTCCGGTATAAGCTCAATGGATTCACCGTTACCAAGCAGTAGCAGCGAAATTACGCTATTAACTTTAACAACAATCCTACATAACACCCTCATTGACAGTCCTGCTTTGCCCTCAACTAGAATATCTAGTCCGACGCATACTTACGAGTGAACAACCGTTACAGAAACCCCATCAACCCGTATAGGACACACCACAGAATGCACAAAGTACAAAGCTGTTCTCAACTGTGTGTCAAATGATAACCTAATATACAAACGTTCCTCTGTCAACACCTCTACGAATTACTTTATCCGAAACACCGTTGAAAAGTACTTGTACTCCAGAAATGACATCTCATAGGAGTGTATATACGATCAATGAAATGACACCGAGCATTACACAGAGTATTACAGAAAGGTATGTGGACCTGCAGCCGTATTTGTCAATCTTGACCGATAGATCCAACTGACCGCCGAGTCCTCGTTGAGAGTGAGTACCTACGACACGTGTTTGTGTCCCTCAAATAGTGTACCGTTTTATTCGGTAATCGCGTTTATTGATCTGTGTAACCATGGTTTTGGGAACTGTCGAAGCTATGGTGGAAGTGAATCACAAAAGGGTCAACATCAACGTGAAATTTGGCCGCCATTTGGCACACTCTGTCTAGAAAAAAAAACTGCATTAAGAAGTATATTATTAAGTAAATCAATTTTTCATCACATAATACTACACAAGTGGCCGATGGTCAACAGAGATGTTGGCTTTTTCTACATTGGTATCTTCTAGAGCATTCAGCGGGACCCAGAAACTCACAACTGAAAGTCTTAGTGTGGATGCATCTACAACAGCAACAATAGCATCAAAAAGTACTCTCTCCGAAACAACATCACAAAGTACTGATGTTCCAGAAGTGACATCTCAAAAAACTAATCAAATGAAGCCGAGCACATTTAAAACTTTGTTTTCAACATATTTCCACACAACTGATCGTCAAACAACAACCAAGTTGTTGACTTT